AGAGAGAGAGAGAGAGAGAGAGAGAGAGAGAGAGAGAGAAGGTTATGTTGTGCAGTCTGACTTCCGAGAGAGAGAGAAAGGGGGGGGGGGGGGGGCAGAACAGAGGAGAAATGTGCAGGAAGGGGGTGTCTACTGTGGATCCCATCTCATCCCTATGCCCTGAGGGCTGGTCTTGAGAGGAGCACAAATTGAAGAACGTAAGGTGGTTATCGCTGTATTGGGACTGAAAATTGCCCCAAATACAGCTATAATAACCGTACGTTCTATTGGGTGGAACATGGCAGTTCCTGCGAAATAAGAAGTCTGCTAAAAGAAGGGTTGCCGGTCAAAGACATCACGGATAAGGCAAAATTCACAAAAACTTGAAGGGCACCTCTCTGGTTTCTCGACCCTGTGTGAAAGGGGCAAAAACCTCTGACGAGATTGGTTGGGCCAGTCTGACTGCAGGTGCTGCCTCGCCACTTCTGAACAGGGTCGAGCAAGGGGTCAAAACCCCCTTTTGTCCGCTTTCTGGACCCCGTTTGAAAGGGGTTAGAAAGACTCAAAAGCTCTGTCCAGATTGGCGGGACCAATCTGATCAGAGGTGCTGCCCCTGGGAAAAAGAAGTCCCAGGTCCAGAAAGGTGTCAAAACCTCTCACCAGGTCCAAAACGGGGTCAAAATCTCTCACCCAGTCTAGAAAGGGGTCAAAACACCCTTTTGTCCCCTTTCTGGACCCCGTTTTAAAGGGGTTAAAAGACTCAAAAGCTCTGTCCAGATTGGCGGGACCGATCTGACCAGAGGTGCTCCCCCTGGGAAAAAGAAGTCCCAGGTCCAGAAAGGGGTCAAAACCTCTCACCAGCTCCAAAAAGGGGTCAAACTCTCTCACCAGGTCCTTAAAGGGGTCAAAGCCTCCGACCAGATCAGAGGGACAAATCTCGCCAGAGGTGCTGCCTCTGGGGAACAGGAGCCCCAGGTCCCACGTGGATCTGCTGCCTCTTGGTACAACACAGTCCTTTCCCTGCGCTGATCGGCGGGACCGATCTGTGGGACCGATCTGCGGGGCCAATCTGCGGTACAGCACAGGCCTTTCCCTGGACTTCCAGTTCAACCTATCGGATGCCTCTCATAGGGGTCTCAAGAATGCGTGTTTTTTTGTCTTTTTCTTTTCCCCCTTAAGGGTCATACCACTTATGCGACCCCTCCCACCCTTTCTGTCATTAATCCTCCCCGTCGCACCCCTCCTCCCCCAGTCCTATATGTTATAACATTTGTCTGGATATTCTTCAGAAGATGCACATGGGTATGGAGATGGGTATGGACTCTAGATGTTAGAAGGATTTTCACATTTCCAGGGCCTGTCCTGGTCAAGCTTTTTGAAGAGCGGAGCAGGGGCAACTGGGCTGTGTGCTTCCTTGTTGGCTGTCATGCATGCATGCATGTGTCATGCATGTGCCATTTAGTTGTTAGTACTTCTTACTATTGCATCTACTGTGGTCCCTCCGTTGCCCCTTTCTGTGTTTGCAGTTTGTTTTTTTTTTCTCTCGAGAACTCGGCAAAATGACTCTGTAACTTCGGGAGGTCGAATGGGACCTCTTCTGGTAAATAAAAAAGGAGCACGATTAAATCAAAAGGAGCACGATTCGCTTCCGCTAAACAAGAAATAAAAAACAAAATCAATAAAGCGTTACGATCCTGGCCAATTTCGAAGTATACATTCATCAGAAAGTACAATTCCGTCTAATTGCAAAAAGAAATGGATGAACTTGAGAGGAGAGAGAGGGAGAGAAGAAGAAGAAGTAAGAAAGAAGAAGAAGATGATGTACTCCAGCATAGGCCAATGACAAGGCTCTTCTTCTTCGCCAACCAATCTCCTCCTCCTTATCTCCTCCCCTGTTATTCAAACAAGAAATAACAATAATAATGTTGAATGGCTGAACCAGAATCAATGTCCGAATCCCACTTCTACTGCAGGCACAACATGAGGTCCACCATAGCCATGGCCACCCTTCCTCTAGCTCTACATGCAGGCCGAGGCTATGGCGGAGCACTGAGGGCTCTACCCTCCTGTCCAAAGGACAACGCAAAGCAGCTATGTCGCCGCCCTTCTGTCCCAAGGTCAATACCAGGCAGCTATGCCGCTGCCCACTCAACCGCCATGCCTGACTCTGTCCCGAGCTTCCTTGATGCGGCACTACCCCAACTGGGTCCTTCCAGATGCAGCGCCTAACAAGGTGATGAAGATGGTGTCCACCATAGCCAGGTAGGTACCTCGCCACTCTCCTCCTTGGTCCCCTTCTTCCTCCTCCTACCGGTAGAGCTCCACCATAGCCAAGGTGGAAGCTCCTGGCTTCTTCCTCCCAGCAGCGCTGTAGTGGCCAGCGCTACTCCAGCCAGCACTCCAGCAGCGTGTCGCGGAACTTGCACACTGAAGAATGAGGCCGGGCTCTTCCCTCGGCCTCTTGATATAGCGGCCTACTTGCCTCCTGGGCGGTGACTTCCAGGCTGCTCGGCCTCCCAAGCAACAGGTACCTCCTCCCTTTCGGAGGGAAACATCATTGCAGACTCTGATATTGCCCGTACAGGCTCTAGACTCAGACTGGATGGACTGGTACCGGCCTAGACCTAGCCTACCGCTACTGGGCCTCTAAAAATGCCAACTTATTCTGCTCGGCCTCGAGTACCCGGCACATCTACTGCTACTGGGTGCGGTACCGGCCTACCTTGCTACTCTAGTGTTTTTCCGCTGCTCTAAGCACCGCGGGCCCCTGGCTCCGCTACTTGAGTGTTTTCCCTGCTGCAACCCTCAATGCCACGGCCACAGGTAAGTATCGGCCCTACGGGCCTGCCAAACAAGCAAGTACCCATGCGGGTCACACACACACTCATACCGACAAGCACTCAGACAGGCACGCAGGTCACAAGCACACACACACACAGACTTAGAAAACTCAGCAGAATGCGGGAATCTCAGCAAGGCATCCATTCCATCGGCAGAACTCCAGAAATCAGCAGTGTTCTCAGTCTGTGTTATGGCGGGTCATTACAAAAGGAAAAAGACCTTTGGCTTTCGGCAATATGCTCCTCACTGCTGTTCGGTGGATTCGTAGTGTCATGGGTCCTTCCTTGCCTCCTTGCATCTGCAATGTTGCTTGGCTATGGCTTTATGGGGGCAACGGTCTTGAGAATATCATCGTGAAACTGACCGGCCCCAGATAATTGCTATGATGATTAATTTATCTCTTAATTAACAGGTATTCTCTTTTATTAAGTTCTATATATAACAATCAAATTCAAGCAGGGATGTAACGCAGCTTGGTAGAAATACTTCATGTCGATTCATCTAGTTCCATCTGGATTCCCACTCAAACCTGTATATATTTCAACAGTTCGTGCAGGTACCAACTGAGCTAGCCGTGTTGGTACTTGGCTATGGTTGCATGGGCTCTTGCTTATTTCCTTCCCCCCTCCCCTCAGCTTTCCATCAGAGTTTCACTGTGGTTATGCAGGTCTTCGCCTTCCCCTCCTTTATTCCTGGCATCTTCCGTTTTCACCCGAATAGAATGCCTGGTTGTCATAGCTGTGTTTGCAGCAGACGAGGAAAGGCGGACAAGAAGCTACCGTCTTCACCCAAATAGAATGGCCGGTCATTATGGCTATATCTAGATTCTAGACTGTTTGCAGCAGATGAGGGAAGGGGGACAAGAAGCTGCCGTCTTCGCCCAAATAGAATGGCCGGTCATTATGGCTATATCTAGACTGGGCGAAGACGGTAGCTTCTTGTCCCCCTTCCCTCGTCTGTTGCAATCTCACGTACGGCACGCTCTTGCGAGCCACGCAGATCGCGGAGGTCCTTAGTTGCAGCTGTTTATGTAATCCGGTTTTCTGAAGGTTCAGTTTTGTGTTTTGTGATTAAACCACGACTACCTTTCAAGCTGTGACGCTAAGTCGTAAAAGTAGCGTACTCCGAAAAGATCGCCGTCGGGCCGCCGTTGATAATCTTCATCTGCGGCGCATGGCCTCTGAATTTGAACTCAGAGGCTCGCGGCCAGATATACAAGAAAGGTAGTGGTGGTTTAAGGTTTCAAAAGCCAAAGAGATTCCAACTGTTTTCCATTGGGGTTTTCTGTGCAGGACTCCAGTTTCCTTCAAGGGTTTTCTGGGCGAGATGGGGAATTTGCGGAGGCTTGGACAGATGCCACTCATTTGCATCTGCCGGGGGAGGAACTGGGCCGACCTCCTTTTCTCCATGATACCGGCGAGCCGGGGATGTCAGCAGCGTTCGAAGAGTTTGAGAATATTTACGGGCAGGAAGCGCGAAGGCGACATTTCGACGAGGATTTTTCGCTCGATGGTACGAGATGACGCAACGTTGCTGATTTCTCCGAACACCGCGTTTTTCACTTTTAGCCACCCTCCCTGTACGACTATTGTTCTGGGGCGAGGCCACTGCCCTGCCCCCCATTGAAGGAACTCTCACCCTTGTCATTCCTGTACATGGAAACTGCTAACGCGTTACAGCTCGGTTGGTTAACTGTTGAGCACCAGGGTAACGAGTCCCTGTGGCTCTGCCGACCTATTAACTAACCTGGTGACCAGGGTTGCATAGCTGCCAACCGCCGACCCTGACCGCCGACCGATTTGCAGCCGACCAGTAGGGCTGACCGGTCGGTGGTGTGCCGACCAGTCAGAAAACAGTCATCAACTGATTTTTTTTCAAATCTGAGTTGGGGGGCTGTACTGTGCTTGCTGAGTACTGCCCAAATCCACTGAGAAACTTGTGGGGATGGGGCGGTATAGGGG